CACTCATTCTGTGCATCTGTATTCTTCTAACGCTCCTCCTTTGGAATCACTTTTATTCAAATCCTAGACTCAGGAGACCTTCTCATGGAGGCATAGCGGGGAGGGATGGATGGATAGATGATGTGTGGATGGCGAGAGGTATGGTGAATTTTTCCAGGAGCAGAAACTCTCATTTAAACTTCAATATTCTCACTGGTGGTGGCAATTTAATAACAAAGCAATGACATCTGATTTGTGTATGGATATAAATTTTAAAAAATGGGGTTGTTCATGCTGAGGATAAAATGATGAAGCTTTATAGGAAATATAGGGCTTTTTTTGGATCTTAAGGTTTTATTATTTTTACCTCACAGCTAGGTTTTTTTATTACAAGGTTTTACGCTATTTAGGAAAAAAATTATAGGACGTTTTAAATCTGTATAAAGAGCAGATCTGTATTGTACCAAATATATATATATTTTTTCAGTGATCAAATAATTTATCCTTGCTAAGAGATTTGGTTCGTGGCAGATTAAAAAATATATTTGTTTTCTTGAACATCTTTCATCACATTTGTAGAGAATGAAATTAAAAGTGTCACGTCTGTCCTGTTTTGTGCTGGTTTTACAGAAATCCAACTCATCTCTTGATTTGCTGTCACCCATCTCTCATCTCTTTGTCCTCCGTCTTGATCGTCTCCACCGTTTTCTGTTTCTAGCCTCTTCAACCGTTCCGATCCAGTGTTTGGACGACGTCGAAAAAACCACCAACAACCACCACCTCCCAGTCGCTCCCCCCCACAGCGCCCCTCCGGTCCCCTCGTGCTCCGGCCGCCCCGGCCCCCCCGTCGCCTGCGGCCTCTCGAGCCCCCCACTGCCAGACAGCCTGAAGGAGGACTGCTGGTACAACGGACCCTGGCCTTCTCAGAGCTGTCTGATGGAGGCGCTGGTCGGGAGCGACGCCTGCTCCGTCGTGCTGCCCCCGCCTCCCCTCAACCAGGCTTCGCTGGACGAGAGCTCGCGTTCCTTCCCCAGCCCCCCCAAGCCGAGCGACGCCATGTTCTGGGAGGGACACTCCGGTGCGTCCAATTCCTCAACCTCCATGGGGAACTTCACCCCCATGAGCCCTCCCAACACAGAGTGGACCAAGCCCTATTAAAGTCCGCCAGAGAGATGACCCGAAACAATTTGGTGGATTTTAACGATGCGAACGGAAAGAAACGGATGAAGTCTCTGACTCTGCCACATATTTACCACCTGACCTGCCTTAAGTTGATACTAGACTGAACTGGAGCTAATCGAGGCCAGGAGAGGCCTTTCCTTGAGGTTAAACAACTCGTTTATCTGCTGTCTCGCCACGCCACGTCAGCGAACATGTCTGACTGTGCGGAGAAAAGAAAACGAAGACTGATGAGAGACGCATAAAAGAATAAGTCAGATCTCGTGTGTCCTGGCATGCACACAGGTTGGTGTGTGCAAGTTAAGTTTAAATTATGCGTGTTTGTGCAAATGTATGCACATTGAAGTGTGCCTGCGTCTGCAGATCTGCCTTCCTGTATCTGTACATCATCATAATAAACCTAATAGGGCTCAAAGAGCCTCTTCTTCATATACTGAGGCCACACACATCATTAGAGCCACAACATAGTAGAACAATTCCAAAAAAAAGATACAACTTTGTGTAAGATGTAAATAAAAACAGAATGTATTCCAATTTTTTAATTTTATTTTTTTGTTTACAATGGAACATAGTGAACATATTAAATGTTGAGACTAAGGAATTGTACTTTTTTTTTAACATTTGACATTTTGAATGTTATGGCAGCAAAACATCTCAGTTGGGACGGGGCCTTGTTTACCACTGGAAGGCATCTTCTTATGGAAATCTATTAGTCTATAAAAAGGTGAGTGAGCGCAACAGGATTTGAATGCACAACAATATTCGAATGCGCCACCAAGATTTGCACAAGTGCACGCAGATCCTCTCCCCTGTGAATCTCACTTTTGACTTTCGTACCGCTTCAGATTCACACGTGTATTGCTGTGTTCAAGGCTGGTGAAAGAGCTGGGACATCTGAGCCTTACCACATTTACTTGGTTATGTGCAGCAACTTGTTTCTGACTTTGTAGCTTATAACCTTTGTAATAAAACACACGTTTAAATTGACATTACTGGATTCCAAAAATATAATTTTTGTGGACTTCGTTTGAAGAACTATACGAAGCTTGCGAGGGGACATGATTTTTTTTTTCCTTTTGCTTCCCTTGCAATACTTTTTGTGTTCCCTCGCAATATTGTTTTGCATTCCCATTCAAAAGTTTAATGTTTTGTATTAACGGTATTGAATCGGACTTTTATTTTGAAATATCCGTTTAACGAAACAGGATGCGTCTCCACAAGTTCTAGAAATTGATGGTGGTATTGCTTGGCTGCATAGAGTTAAAATATCTGAACATTACATGCCTCCATGCAAGGCTATGTTAAAGTAGAAGACTAATTCCCATATAAATGGTGAGCAAGTGAATTTGTTAATAAACCAGCAGGCACAACCGTAATAAACAGCTTTTTCAAGGAAACCCAAAAGCTATTGCAAGGTAACGCATTACTATTGCGTGGTAATGTAAAGGCAAAAAAAATTCCCTCATGCCCCCTCATGGGATCCATAGAACTACTCAGAACAGTTAGGTTATTTTTACTCTGGAAAATTACCAGAAAATATATATATTTTTTGTAGTTTCTGCAGTGGACCTAATATTTTGAGTTGAGTACTTCAAATTTTAAGTCCACACAAGCAAAATGCTGGAAGAAAATGTTAATGTTGGAGAATGTACAGCTGAAATAAATATCAGTAAATGGGTAGGTTATTCTTTCTATGAAAGAACTACATTATTTAATTGTTTTAAATCAATTTTCAACTGACTCATTTTAGTTTGTTTATTTCAGCGGAACAGTCCACAAAATGCAACATTTGTGGAGCACAGAAATGTAAGTGTACGTGTTTTAACATAGGGTTTATGAGCTGTTGTGCCAGGTCAGAAACGTATTTTCCCCAATAACCCTGTAAATATGGTAAAGCGCAGATGTCCCAGATTTTCATCAGTCTTGAACGCAGCACTACACTTGTGGATCTGCAGTAGTAAGAAGGTCTTAAGTCGAGCCGATCTGCACACTTGTGAGAATCTTGTTACTCGCTCAAATCTTGTTGTGCATGCTGAAATCTTTTTGAGACTAGTTGATCTCTGTATCTTCATTTCTATTAAAAACAGTCTAAGAACTGAGGAGACTAGCTGCAGTTTTTTTTTTTTTATGGGAAATTATTTCCTGTTTTTATCTGATGTAGAATCTGTTCAAGGTCTTTTTTTTCTGGATTTGTTTGTTTCACAGTGTTTTCAGTTGGTGAGAGGTCTGAACTGCAGGCAGTCAGCACCCAGACTCTTCTATTCCAAAGCCATGCTGTTGTTGCAGAAAGTGGTTTAGGATTGTCTTGATGAAATATGCAAGACTTTCTCTAAAAAAAGATGTCTGGATGGAATTGAAACTTGTACACTTTTTCTGCATAAATGGTTTGTTTCCAGATGTGTAAGCTGCTCATGCCATAGGCACTAATGCACCCACATACCATCAGAGAAGGAGAGTTTTGAACTGTGTATTAAGCTTATTAAACCTGAGGGTCTGAAGTTCACAGGCATAAAATATTGACTTTCAGCCTTGTTCTAGGAGCTCAGAGATTTCTCCAGATTCTTAAAATCTTTAGATGAGATTATAAATTGTAGATAATATTTAAAGTTTTCCCAGATTTTAGTGAAAGAACAGTATTCTGAAATTATCTTGTTTTTTTAGATAGTTTTTTTTTTTTTTTTTTGCATACTGGTGAACATGTTCCATTGTGAATAAAATATGGGTTCACAAGCTTTGGAAATTATTTACGTTCTGTTTTTATTCACATTTTACACAATGTTCGGACTTTTTTCAGAATTGGGGTTGTAGTAGATTTTGTATAACAAAGTGTACAAGCTATGTAGCCCTCATGTTTGTCTCATGATCATGTGCAGATGTGTTGGTCTGACGATTTGATGTTTGTTCTTGTGCTGTGATGGAAACAAACAGGAACGTAAGACTAATCGTGGGTTTTTGTTCAACAACTTAACAGCAACCAAAATAAACTTTTTGTGTTTTTTTTTTTACAGAAAATACTATTTGTTGAAGGCCTTATCAAAGTATTGTCCATACCTATCATATCACCTTGGACATTTTTGTGCAAATTTGAGACTGGATGATGTAAAATCATCTTGCCCTCTGAAAAGACTTAAATCTGCCGCGTCAGTCTTCACAGACCGTTTGTCACAAACCATCTTGGTTTTTCTTTTTTCAGATGTACTGTAGTACACAGCTGTGCACAACTAGGTATTTTACTAGATTATGGTATTCATTAAATACTCTCCAAAATGACACCTATACACTCCTGTGTGTTTTTAAAATGTGATGACAGCTAAGACAAGATTTGTGAATATTTAGAAAACAGAAGTATGTTATCTCTACTGTATGTGCCCACGTTCACTTTCCAGTAACAGAAGAGGAAGGATTTGCTTCAAAATTTAAGTCGGATGAGTCTAAAATGATGTACAGACGCATACATGTAAAAATACATGATAAAGAGACTGTGCATATCTGTATAAATGTAAATGGTGGGTTTCAGTACTTTTGCCAAATGTGATTTTGCACTTTTTGTTGTTTTTTTTCCTTCCCTGATACCAAAACCTTTGATATGAGTAAGAGCCATCTGAAATGATGGCAAATCTAAGAAATGCGAGCTGTGACTTGACAAATACACAAAGGCTAAGCTTTGTTGAAAAGGTTGCTTTCATTTACATTTTCTTCAGTCTGCTTCATAGCTTTGGTTGTCTTTGTTCTTAGTTCTAAGGAAATGTTATTTTACAGCAGTACTTTCATACTTCTGAAAAGGATTTGCAAATCAAAATGCAATGTACAGTAGATATGAATTATATTTTAGACCTACTGCACTTCAGACTGTAAATATGATTCAATAAATAACTGAAAGGTAGCGATTGTCTTCCTTTGATAACTGCTACAAAAGTAAATGGAAATAAGGTATTTTGTGGATGCTGAGTGCTGAATAATTTTGCTGCAATTAGCTGAATTTTTTTTAAATGGAATTGTTTAAAGCTAAATGAACATAACAGAAGCTAAAAATCTGTGGCTAAAACCAACATAACAGAAGCTAAAGATCTGTGGCTAAACTAACATAACAGAAGCTAAAAACCAGAAGCAAAATGCTAATTTAAGGTTAAATGTCCCAAAATTATACAGAAATCTTGCTAAACATAAGTCAAAAGTAGCAAAATGCTAACCAGAAACAAATTCTAGCCAACAGCAGCAAAGGCATATCTAAAAACTAAAAGTAGCAAAAGGTTAGCCAGAAGCTTGGTTATAAAGAACTGACTTAAGTCTAACTGTAGCTAAAAACTAAAAGTAGCACAACACAAAAACAGCTGCAGCAGATTTTGAATGAATTTTTGAAGTAAAGATATTTCTTTGTATTTCTTAGATATTTGTCAATAAAGTTAACTACTTCAAAAAGTATAAAAACAATGAGTCATAGCATCCATCTTTTGTTATATGAATTGCTAAAATAGTTCAAAGTACGTGGAAGTAGATTGAAAAACCATACAAAAATAAAGAGGACAAACAGCAACACTTTTTCTTGTTAGGCTGTAGTAGTTCATTATGAAACAGACGTGTTGCTACATTTTATTACAATTTCCATTACTCTCACTAAGAAACAACTAAGAACTTTCCAAGGTCAGTACCTGCTCAACTCCCTTTTAGATGTTTCTCCCTGGATTACAGAGATGCATCAGGACAATAAACACGTTCATTTCTTTTTATTTTTACACATCAAACAAGTCATTCAATCTGACATTAGGTCAGTTGTTTTGGGGGATCATTACACATGTTGTGGTCAAACTTCATTTGCAATGAGTTAAAGAGAGAGAAAAAAACCCAGGAGATGAGGGATGTATAGACAAATGACCAGGACAAGTAATGAAATCAATGTGTTTTAAAACACTGGAGGTCACAGCCAGCTGTTTTCTGATGGGCATAAGGTGTTGTCAACAGACTCAGTTTATACAGATCTGACATCCTAAAGTCTTTAAAGAAAAATGTATTTTTCTTTCTTCACTATAAACATATATCCTAACTAACCAGAACTTCATTGTACTGTCAATAACATCTGATAATAAGATGAGCTTTGTTTTAAAAATGGAAATACTTTAGCACTCCTGCTGATATGGTTCAGATTTAACTTTCTACTGATTTCTTTTTATTAAAGCAAAATGAAAATATATTTAATGCAGCAATTTTGGACCATTACTGTTTTGCACTTGGCCTGAACATTACATAATCATTTTAATTACTAATAATTCTTCTGCACCAAGCTAATGTCGGTCCTTTCACAGATTCGTGTAAAACACAGTCTTGTAGTTTTTTTGAGAAATAAACGTGGCTGTACTGATCCCCAGCTTAACCTGGGTGAGCTTGTGTCTGCATGTGGACACCTGAAACACACATCCCATCGTTAGCATTACATTAATATTACATGCTAACTGGAAGGCTCTGTTTCCTTTTCTTAGCCGGGATTCCCGTCCTCTGAAATTCCAGTTTCTCTTGAATGTAAAGCTGCTTGCACTCTTCAACAAATGCAGGATCCTGGTAGCTGTTGGCAGACAAAAGGTGTGATATTAATACTCTGATAGCAGTGGTACGATTTGACTTGAGCCTTAACAGGAAGCGGTTGAGACTTTAAGTAAATATGGAGGCCTCGGTAAAAGCTACTTGTGAATGTGGGGTGATCCCACCTTAGAGTGCAAGAGCTGAATGCTGCAGAAAGTGTAAAATACTCACTGTTTTACCAGACAATCCTGCATGGCTGAGTTTTCCTTTCGACACTTAAACGTCATGAGTAAACCAGATTCTTTACAGCAATGGGAGAAGGCTGCATGGAGAAGGAGGAGGTAAGGAAACAAGCTTTAAGTCAACATCCTTTATATTACACTTTACAAACAAAAGCTGGACCAAAGTGGAAAACCTTCAGCGTGAAAGCAATCATAATGCTACCACACTAAATACTTTCTGCTGGTTTCTCCCTGCTATTTTTCATGTCCTCAAGATGTTCTCCTCTGTCCCCACACCTCGCTCTACACACCCACCCTATAGCTGTGCTTCAATTCATTGGCAGCAGTCGACGTAGACTGCAGCCCACGTTGGCCACACCCTACATAGGCCAGTGTAGGCTGTATAAACGGCTGTGAAACAACACGGGCTAGTCTACGGAAGACGTGACCACGTGCTGCCTTGTTACCATGTTGATACATTTTATATCACATCCCTTCAGTTGTTTTTTTTTCTTTGTTTTAACAGTTTAACTTAAAATTTGGTATTATAAGAAAAATGACACACAGACAAATAAAAAGCATTCATAATTTGGGTAACATCTCATTGCAGCAAAAAAATTATCAGCTAAGTTACTAAACATACATTTAAAAACAAATTCTTTGGTCTGTGATAAATTTCAAAAACCAGCTGTAAAAAAAACTTTTACGTAAATAAAATAACCCTTCGCCGTCTTTGTTTAGTTTGCTGATGGCGCAAGGAATTCCAGAATACCGCCAGCCACGTAGGATACACAAATGCAGCCTACATTTTTGGCTTTCTGTCGGCTGCATGAGTGCGGGCCTACAAATTGGGACAGCCTACGGAGTGGGGTAGTGACGCAAGTTGCGGACGAATGAGCCCTATGTTGTCTGCAACCCATGAATTGACACAGCATACAAATCCTGGGCCTCAAGGACAGCTATCCTGCATGTTTTACAGGTTTCTCTGTTAGTGTGAATGAATGGGTGATTACCAAGATTTTGCAGGATTTGAAGTGGTAATTCAGTCACTGAATCAGGTGTGTTGGAGCAGGGTAACAAGTCAAACATGCAGGACAGCGGCCCTTGGGGACCAGGATTGCTCACCCTTGCTTAGCCAAGCTCTATACAGCTGGAACAGTGCTGCAGAGCTACATTTGTCCAAATGTTTTGTATGTTTGCTGTTTAGTTAAAATCGGATTACTGTAGGCACAGCTTATCAAGTACAGGTGGATGTAAAACCTCATTTTACTGCACGAACTTAAGGTTGAACAATTTTAGCAAAAACGGGCAAAGTGACAATTTACGCTCACGATAGTTCTAATCATTTTTAGAACTTCAAAAATTGACGTTACCACAAAATATGCTGATTTTCTTAAGAAATAAGAAGACATCTGATGCCTCAGATACACTAGTGCCTTACACCTCATTACACATACAGGATCCTCAATGGAAGGTGTGGAAGACAGTCTTCACCTTGTTAGCAAGCTCTTTCTCAAAGCTTTAATGAAAAGCTCTGCCCTTACATCTTATCAGTGGCATCAGTATGGTTATCACACAGACCCTTTCATTAGGATGCAGATGTAAAAAAAAAAAAAGGGGGGAGGAGGGAGGACCCTGCAAAACCAATTTAGAGAAGCAGAAGAGTGCGACTAATCTAATCAAGTGATGCTCCATCCTCGTCCCAAGGTACTAATAGAGACTGCAGAGGGTTGCCTCTGACCACACAGCAGCAGCTCCGCAAAAACTAAACAAGAGGCCATTGTGATGTCAAAGGATGTGGCTGTAAAGAAAAGTGTGACAGCAACTTCACTTCAGGCTGCTGGGTTTGCTATTTTGAGATTTAAAAAAAGTGAAGTGTGAAAGTTAGTGGAAGGCAGAAACAGGAGATCTGAACATTTAGAGAATTATAGCTTTAAAAAAAGCGTACAAACTGTGAGCAATTAATATATACCCGTCTGCCCTTCATACCAGTTTTACACTCAGATCATCTTATGTTGAGAAATACTGCTGATACACTTATTCTGGGCAAACTTTAAAAAAACCTCTCGGCTACTACCACAACTAAGTTTAGCTCAATGTCTGTAAAACTGACACCGATGAAACCGTTTTTGTGTAAGCTAATGACAACTATTTGTGGCAGCCATCTTGAATTTGCCTGACTTGATCAGTTACAGATACAGTATAGTGGCACAAAATTGCCTGTTTTGGAGTTTGCATGACAGCACCAAACATGGGACATGGAAAGGTGAAAAAAAGATTTATTCTCTGATGAGAAAAAAAATGTAATCTTGACAAGGAGATCCTGAGATGTTCTCTACACGGCCATCGTCTGTGTAGTATGACTTTTTTTTTTTTTTCAACAGGACAACGCTGCAGTTCACAGTTCCCGTCTGACAAAGGACTTCTTCCAGAGAAATAACATCACTTTTTTGGACCATCCTGTATGTTCCCCTGACCTAAATCCAACTGAGAACATTTAGGGTTGGATGGCATAGGAAGTTTACAAAAATGGACACCAGTTCCAGACAGTGGATGCCCTCCGTGAAGCTATCTTCACCGTTCAATCCTCAAGGAAAACTAGCATCAAGCATGCTGAAACCACAAAGGCTCGGCTACTCCTTACTGAGTCCTTATTTTTACTTTTTATTTCCATTTTAGTTTTTTGTTTTGTTTTTTAAATATGGTCTTCTTAAATTTTTTGATCAACTGATGAACAGCCCATTTCAGTTTAATACTTGCAACAAAATTCTTACCTAGATGTATTTTTTGTCTCATATTTCTTCTTTTTGCATTCTGAAGCACTACGTAGAACCTTCTTACGATCTAACACTGCTAAATATGAATCGCTGCCATTTTTCAACTGGTCTTAAAGTTTTGATCAGGTGTGTTTATACATGGCACAATAAGCACGTAAATTTATGTTTGGTAATTATCTCTGTTGTAACAATGCTTCTTGGCAATAAATCTATTAAGTTTATTTAAGTTAATTTCCGTTAATTTCCTTTTTTTTAAATAGTGCCACATTTGTAAGGAACATGCATTCGTGGGATGAGCAGTAGAGCTGCTTCTCTATCAAACAGCTTATTTTGACACTTGTTATGGTGCTGCCAATCAGGTGTCTGCTTTATGCTTTATTGCCAAGAAGCCTTGTTACAACAAAGAAATAATCTACCAAACACGAATATATTTACTTTTGTGCTACGTTTATAAATATACCCATTAGATTTAATTTAGGACCAAAACTTAACAGAAAAAAATGCTTATTTTTGCTTGTTATTGTTGCTTCTGAAAGACATGAGAACAAACTGACATGAATGATTATCAAAGTGTGAAAAACCCTGTCGAGTAAAGGTAGACTGATGATGTTCACAGGTCAGTAGAACCCGTTTGAAATTTAAAGCTTACAACACAGAACTGTCAGCGCCACATATGCAAAGACACACAACACAGGAAAACATACTAGTAGATGGTGTTTTTCACTTTTTTTTTCTTCTTTGTAAAGCTCAAACACAGACACACAGGTTCAGTACACACACACACACACACACACACACACACACACA